GAGTATCCAAAGAAGTGATTCCGCGAACTATACATGTGTTGCCACAAATGCCATCGGATCTGACACTCAATCCGTTTTACTTACTATAAAAGGTATCATTAATTGTTTAATTCGTATTAAATTGATTGATAAAAACATAATTTATAAAATACATGTTATAAAAGCTATTTAAAAGTTGTTGCAATGAATAATTATATTTAGTTATTTCATTAGATTTCAACAACTTTTGTTATATTTTCCGAAATTATTTGTAATGATATTTTTAAATAATATATTTCCTTAAATTATTGTGAATCCGACACAAAGTGTGGCGCAATATATGATATATTTATCACACATTTTGTTATACAATACTTAAGACGAGAATCCATTGTCGGCCATAACTTACCATCTCTTATGTTGTTATTAAATGCAAAAATGTATTCAAAATATTTGTTCATTGATATAATTGTGTGTATTTTAATCACTCAAATATATACGAGTGATGTATCAGGTATTTAATGCAATTAAATCATGTTATGTATTGGTTTTGACAAATTTTATTACAATTTAGTGCCAAAACTAATGCCATTTATAAAGCAGATGAGCCTTAAGGAGGACTCATTTTTTAACATGATGTGCACTGTTCACGAGGGATCTCCTCCTCTATTCTTTGAGTGGATACGAAATGGACAGTCAGTCAAATCGGGTCCCGAAGTTAACTATAAGATTGAAAATTCAAAAATGTTTTCCACGTTTACTATTGAGAAGATTGAGAGAAGAGATGCCGCGAACTATTCCTGTGTTGTAAGCAATTCTATGGGAAGCGATAGACAATCGGTTTTGCTTACAATCAAAGGTTATTTGTTTTACCTATATTATCTTAAATAAATACTACTTTTTAGTTATAATTTATAATTGTAATTTAAGAGTAAATAGTTTATAGTGAAATGTAATTCATTAATATACTGTATATGGATTTTTACGACCTAACTATTATTGTCTTACTCGTTAGAGTTTTAATACTTTTGAATACAATGTTTGAGTTTTGAAAATAGCAAATGATATCCAATTTGAATGGCATTCAAAGTGTGGCGCAATTGTTGTCCGAATGAAAGGCTATATTGAGTCCAATCAGTGATATATCACTCGTCGGCCATAGTTTTGTTGCTTTACTTTGTGTCAAATGTTTGTAAATATGAATTCAATACATGTTATAATTGTTTTATTATTATTTATACAATTTAATAATACATTTAGTGAAGAACTAACAGGTATTTTCATATTGAATAAACATTATTATCATTAATTGATTGCCAAATATTTATATAATTAGCGCCAAAATTAGTGCCACTCATAGGAAGGGATGAAACTGAGGGCTCATTGTTTCAGATATTTTGTTCAATAAGTCGCGGATCACTTCCACTGTTCTTCGAGTGGACACAAAATGAACACCAAATTAAGTCCAGTCCTGACGTCAACTATAAGATTGAAAACTTTGAAATGTTTTCTACTTTTACCATAAAAAATATCCAAAGAAGTGATTCCGCAAACTATACATGTCTTGTGAAGAATGCCATCGGATCTAATAGTCAGTCAGTTTTGCTTACAATTAAAGGTATCGTTAATTGTTATTAAAGTTATTATTTAAATATTTATTATATTTGAGAAAATAATATGAAAAAGTGATTATAGGGGATGTAATATACATGGATTTTTACAGTTAATTCTATACCATATGAATTTGTATTTGAATTGAAATATATTTGTGTAAATTATTGTGAATCCGACACAAAGTGTGGCGCAATATATGATATATTTATCACACATTTTGTTATACAATACTTAAGACAAGAATCCATTGTCGGCCATAACATTGTCGGCCATCTCTTGTGTTGTCATTGAATGCAAAAATGCATTCAAAATATATATTCATTGATAAGCAAACCGTTTTGGAGCATTTGTGGAGCATTTTTCATAGTGTTGCGCACAATAATGACTATTACAACAATTTGTTCATTTTAAAGCATTAGTTAAATTCTGATTCTCTAACTAATTCATAGTTTTTGTTTAGTCTGCATATTAAATGACTCATTTATTGGTTGCTTTATTCATTGATATAATTGTGTGTATTTTATTACACGAAACAATTCCTATCCATTCTTCAGGTACTTTAAAATATTTAAATATCAATTCCTATATTATTAACAATAATTTTGATTCAATTTAGTGCCAAAATTAGTGGCATTTCCTAATAGAGTGCAGACATTGGGCTCATATTTTCAAGTGTTTTGCACAATACAAGACGGATCCCTTCCTCTGGTGTTTGAGTGGTCCAGAAATGGACAGAAACTCAAATCCAGTGCTCATCTAAACTATAAGATTGAAAACTTTGAAAGACATTCAACGCTCACTATTGCCAGCATTGAGAAGACAGATGTCGGCAATTATACATGTCTTGTGACCAATACGTTGGGAACCGATAGACAAGGCTTTGACTTATCCATCAGAGGTAGACATTTGAAATTAATAGTTATTAAATAGGATTTTGTAATTAAGTCATTCAAAAATGGGAAATTTAAAACAATTGTCTTATGATTGCTATTAATTATAATGTGGTTATGTATTGAGAATGGCTTACAGTTTTGAACAAAATATTTTTTAAACTGATGTCTAAACCGCCAAATGATATCTGCATTGAATGGCAATCAATGTGTGGCACTATTGTAGACATCAATCCATAGTTTGTTCATATTTTCTGCAGATCTCATAGACTTCTTGTCGGCCATTACTTTCATTATAATCACAAAGTGTTGTCAAAATGTATTCAATATATAAACTCCAGTTATTTATTGAATTAAATATAAGTTTTATAATTCTTATTATAATTCCCGACTATTTATCAGGTATTGTCCATTAGATCCCAATTCACTATAAATATTTCAAATCCATATCTTTCATGACATTAGCCCTAAAACTAACGCCACTATTAAGTCCAAGAACTCAAAACGAGGGCTCAATGTTTCAGATGACTTGTCCCGTACAGGAGGGCAGTCCTCCCCTATTCTTTGAATGGCTAATTAATGGACAAATTGTTAAATCAAAACCTGATGTCAACTATAAAATTGAAAATTTTAAGAAATACTCCACTTTTACTATCGATGAGATCCAGAGGAATGATTCCGCGAACTATACGTGTATTGTTAGGAATGCATTGGAAAGCGACAGTCAGTCTGTGTTTCTATCAATTAGAGGTAGGATTAGACTTAATATTTATAGTATCACTGCATCATTAATATATAAATTAAATAATTGCAAGTAATTGTTATGTATTTTATATCCATGTTTTTAATACATAATGATGGTTGGTTTGATTACTGATAATTATCATTGAAAGTATGGTTTCATTATTGAATCCAATGTGAAATCAATTGTGAAAGCAATTGTGAATCTCACACAATGTGTGTCACTGTTGTAGACATTGAGAACATTATTATCACATATTCTTCAGCTCTGATTGAGTTTCTGTCGGCCATTACTTCCCATTATTTGTATATAAAGTGTTGTCAAAATGTTTTGCAATTATAAATACACTTCAGTTTTTGAACCATATTTTGTATTAATATTGTTAATAACAATTGAAAACCTATCGGGTATTTGTCCAACAAATATATATATTTAAGTTTATAACTAATGATTATCTCTTATACGACATCAGCACTCAAATTGACTCCTCTATTGAGTCCCAGGACTCAAAGCATTGACTCGTATTTCCAGATCACATGTACGATACAAGAGGGAAGTCCTCCCCTATTCTTCGAGTGGGTTATCAACGGACAGACCGTTAAGTCCAGTCCTTACGTCAACTATAAGATTGAAAATTACAAAATGTTTTCCACGTTTACTATTGAGAAGATAATGAGAAGCGATTCCGCGAACTATACGTGTATTGTTAGGGATTCTGTTGGAAGTGATAGACAAACCGTTTTGCTTACAATCAATGGTAGGAAACATTAAACAATTGATATATAGATTATCAATAATTTTAGAAAAATTTATTTCTTTAATTATAATCACAATTAATGTGATTAATAATACAATAAGTGGTGTAAAAGAATGTGTGATAAATTCTGGTTGAAACTCGCATTGCATTTAATTTCCTATTTATAGCACTTTTATATTTGAAATGAAAAGTTGTGGTAAATTTTGAATCGCATTCAAAGTGTGTCACTGTTGTAGACATTATCCCAAAGATCTTTGCCATCAATTCCTCACATAATGTCAGCCATTGTTTTGTTGTTATATCTGTGTATAAACTCACTGTAAAAATGTATTCACAATATTTAAATTGTTTAATTTGTTTAATATTGATGAATGAAATATCGCATTCCTATTGTGCGGGTAATGTATAGACAACACAATAGATTAAACATAATTGAGATAACATTCATGTATTTCTGATAATTAGTACCAAAACTAAGCTCTGGTTTGTCTCATAAGAACCAAAGCATTGGATCTAACTTTCAAATGATATGCACTCTAGAAGAGGGATCTTATCCAGTGTTCTTCGAGTGGTCTAAAAATGGACAGACAATCAAATCGAGTCCTGATGTCAATTATAAGATCGATAATTTTGAAATGCACTCCACTTTTACCATCAAATCCATTGATATGTCTGATGTCGGGAACTATACGTGTGTTGTTAGCAATGAATTTGGATCTAATAGTAGATCAACTCTATTATCAATTAATGGTAATTACGATAATTTCTATATTTAGTTACATATTTTTTAATTCAAATTATTGACAATAATTTTCTTAAATTCATTGCTCTATCAATGATTGTTATAAAACCTTACAGTTTGTACTGAACTGTACATACAATTCAAAAGTGATGTCTAAACCGCCAAATGATGTCTGCATTGAATGGCAATCAATGTGTGGCACTATTGTAGACATCAATCCATAGAGAAGTGTCTTATTTTCTGCAGATCTCATAGACTTTTTGTCGGCCATTACTCTCATTATAATCACAAAGTGTTGTCAAAATGTATTTAATATATAAATTCCAATTATTTATTGAATTAAATATAAGTTTTATAATTCTTATTATAATTCCCGGCTATTTATCAGGTATTGTCCATTAGATCCAAATTCAATATAAATATTTTAAATTCATATCTTTCATGATATTAGCCTTAAAACTGACGCCACTTTTGAGTCCGAGAACTCAATCCATGGGCTCAGTATTACAGGTGACCTGTGCTATACAAGAGGGAAGTCCTCCCCTTTTCTTCGAGTGGGCTATCAATGGACACACCGTTATGTCCAGTCCTGATGTCAATTATAAAATTGAAAACTTTGAAATGTTTTCAACGTTTACTATAAGAAAGATATCTCGAAGCGATTCCGCGAACTATACCTGTATTGTAAGGGATTCTGTTGGAAGTGATAGACAATCCGTTTTGCTTACAATCAATGGTAGGAAATGATATTTAATTGGAATATATTTTATTTATAATATTTAATTATTTATTTATTTAATTATGATCATAAATCACCCGAGATGTTTTAATATCTATTACGTATACGGATTATACTTTGAATTCTGATTGAATACTAAATTTCCTATTTATAACACTCTTATATATTGTTATGTATATTCCTCTTATGTAATAATCCCTCCCCCCAACCAATAGGAAAACTTAAAAATTTACCCGTATATTATATAATACCATACTTACTGTACTTTACGTTGAGTTGGGTTTTGGAGAGCTCTGTGAGCAGACCTCCACTGATTGTATTTGTAAAGTGTATTTTAAATAAAACTTTTATGTAAACTTAAATTGTGCGTTAATTTTATTAAACCCGATTCCCGACCACCCGACCCGTTCCCCATAAACTACGTTTAACATAACAAATTGGAGGTCCACGACCGAGACATCTCCACAGTCGACAACAACTTCGCGAAAGGCCGTGGCGTTCAGGCCATCGTCGGGTCGAACAGAGATACTGTGTCGCACCGCAGGATAGCAACGGACGGTCAACGAAGTCGTCGACAAAGTAGATGTAAGTGAGCAACGATCGCTGTATCAAACTAGGGTGAGTCGTAAATTTAATTATAATATTTAATTATGAATTATGAAAAAATTTGATCGAGATGAGCATAAGCGGCGCTTATCGGCTCTAAGAATTAATAATCGAGTAAGAGTTGTTCCCCCACCTAATGACCACTTCCCGTGCGGGAACCAAAATTGCTGTAAAGATTTAAGTACAGATAATGCCATTAGTGACACTATGAATGCAGCGGATATAAGAAGGGCTGTGTCCGACGCTATGGCTAATAACTTTTCTGTATCTTCTATCAAATGCGAAAAATTTGATGGTAAGATTAGTGTGGATGCCAGAGAATGGCTAGAGAGATACGAGCAGTTCGCTAACGCTCGTAATCTCAGTGATGACCAGAAAATGGCAAATTTTAGCCAGTATTTAAGCGAGAAAGCTTATAAATGGTATAAATTGAATGTCATTAAAGCAAACCAACCCCCAGCTGATTGGGATGAGCTAAAAGATGCATTCCTCGTATATCATGTGCCAGGTGATCTCTCAGATGAGCTGAGAGATAAAATGATTAACAGAAAACAAGGCACTGATGAGGATGTGATTCATTATATCACAGACAAAAGGCTCTTATGTCTCGACTGGCAGGCGATGCCCTACTCAGACATTAAGAAGTATATAATAGAGGGTATGAATGACAAAATGAAAGAAACCATGTATCATAAGAACAGTGCAAGCATTAATGCACTCATTTCCGATGCTATTAGCGTCCAAAAAGGCATTCGATCAGGCTCTGGTTGGGCAGTGACCACTAAGGCTGTCGAGAACAGACTTGCCCGAACTGAGGATAAGATTGACGAGATCACCGAGAATATGGGTCGCATTCTTGGGCGCCTTGAGGGCAGAAGTCGATCTCGAGAAAAAAGTCGAGACATAGACTTTGACAGGCATGGCCGGCGAGTTGTTGACCGCCGTGACCGTGATCGCGAGCGTGATTATTACTCTAACAACTCTCGCAGCTCATCAATTGAGACAAACCGGAGCTACTCGAGAGAACGACCGCCTAGTGGTCGATATCGAGAAGAGTCTCGTGAGCGATATTATCGCAAACCCTCTCGTAATTATGATAATTATAGTCCTCCTAATTATAAGAATACGAATAACTATAGCTCGAGATCTTATAATAACAGCGCTAATAGAGATTACCATAAGCGTGATTATAATAGAAATTATTCGAAGCGAGAGTACAATCGAGACTATTCAAAGCCTGATTACAATAGAGATTACTCTCGCGAACGCTATGAGAAAAGCCATTATAATCGCGAACACAATAACCTTAATAACAAAGGTAACGACAATAACGCCGTTCGCTCACCACCTACTGGTGATACAAAGCACGTAGAGTTTAATATCGCTCGTCAATTAAACAAAAGCCGTGATCTCAATGGTAATGTTATTTGCTATAAGTGTGGGAAAGTCGGCCACTATATGCGCGAATGTCGTGAAAATTCCTCCAATAATTTTCACAAATCCCATACAAACGCGGCCACTGACTCCACAAACCAAGGCCTCGTATACAAAGCAGTGCGAGTCAACAATAAAGACTTGCATGCTATTATAGATACGGGTTCGGAGGTTACAATGATTGACGATAGTATACGAGTAAACTTAGGATTGGGCTTAGAGCCGATTAATGACACGAATATTTATGCAGTAAATGGTGAAAAAGTTACACTCGAAGGGTATGTTCACATTTATGTGACCATATGTTTAGACGGGATTGAGAAAATATTCCCAATGAAAGCAGTGTCTATAAAAAACTTTACTTATGAATTATTGTTGGGCATAAATTTCACTCAAATGGCTGAAATAACAATTGATTGCAAAGACCGGCAGCTTCACTGGTCAAATGCCGCACAAAAGACCGACAATAAGCGAAATATTCATGTATTAAGGGACACTATTATTGACGGAAAAAGCACTAAAAATGTTAGAGTAAGTGCTAGTAATAGTATTGTTGGACCCGAAACTATTCCCGTCAATGAAAGCAATGCATTGAGTAATAAAACTCCTCTCTGTCTAGAGCCCAAGGCCTATTTGTTTACGAACGGTGAGAGTACTATTGCGCTTACAAATCACAGCTCTCTCCCTACCGTTCTTAAATGCGGTACTATTGTTGGCAAATGCGACACAATTGACCATAAAATACATAATAAATTGCGTAACAGATTGTATAACTCTGATAACGCATACTACGACTACGAGTGCGAAACCATTTGTGAAACGGTTTCAGAGCCAAACAATGGTATGCCTTTATATGTAAACATTACTGAATCGTACCCCAAAGGTGATTACAGCACTAATATCTGCCTTTACTGTAATGAATTTCATTATAACAATGAATGCCCAAATATATTATTGTGGTCAGAATCACATTATTGGAGACACAACAAAGGTAAAGAAATGCGACATTTAGACTATATTTGTGCCAACGCATACAACTATACACAAAATCCAATACTACACAATAACATTTTTAAGCCTGAGAATGTCATCAACGATTACATAACAACAATCGGAGGTAAGGTTAAGGCAGGGAATGGTAAGCTGTCTAACATTCAGTTGGCAAAACTCACACAATTATTGAATGAATACAATGATATATTTGCTTTCGACAAAACTAAAATTGGATTATGTAAAGTTGATAAATTTCGTATTAACTTTAAAGAAAGCGATCAACAGCCTATAAATCTAAACCCTTATAGGTATAGTATTGCTCAAAGACAGGTAATCAACGACCAGGTAAAGCAATGGATAGATATGGGTATCTGTGAGCCCTGTATCAGCGATTACGGACATCCAGTAGTATTGGTCGACAAGAAGTCGTTAGACTCAAAAGGTAGGCCTGAGAAGCGATTATGTATTGACTATCGCCGTCTCAATCGCACGACCCGGAGCGATGTATATCCCATTCCTGATACGAAAGCTTGTATGTCAGCGTTAGGTGGGTGTAACTACTTTTCATTAATTGATCAAAATAGTGGTTATTTACAGTTCGAAGTCCACGAAGCCGATCGCCACAAAACTGCTTTCAAAACACAGGACGGTTTGTATCAAATGATACGTTTGCCATTCGGTTTGTCCAATTCTCCGTCATTCTTTATGCGATGTATGCATAAAGTATATGGAGAGTTAGTCGGCAAATTCATAATTGTATATTTTGATGATGCCATTGTCTTTAGCAAAACATTTGATGAACACATTGAGCATTTAAGACTAACATTTGACAAAATACGAACAGCTGGCCTGACACTCAATCCCCCTAAATGTCAATTCGCAACAGATTGCATTATGTTTTTGGGTTATATAATAACTCCGCAAGGCATTGATGCTGACCCGGCCAAAGTCAGAGCCATTGTTAACTATCCCCGTCCCGACTGTCTCACAGCCGTCCGCGCCTTTGTGGGACTTGCGGGCTTTTATAGACGTAAAGTCAATAAATTTGCTCAAATAAGTGAACCCCTCACTCGCTTAACAAAGAAAGTGACCGACCCAAAGCTATTAGAGCTAAACTTGACCACAAAATATGTAAAACCTTCCGATGAGGGCCGAGTCTTTGTGTGGACAAACGAGCAGGAAAATGCCTTTAATGCCCTTAAGCGCGCAATCAGCACCTCTCCAGTTCTCACACATTATGACAACTCATTGCCCATTGAGATACATACGGATGCCTCTCTTCAAGGCATTGGTGGCGTATTGTATCACGTAATAGAGGGGAAGTTGGCCCCGTTTTGCTTCCAGTCTTGGCTATTGCATAACAGTGAGAAGCATTTAGCAGCTGTTGAACTGGAATGCTTAGCTATTGTTAAAATCACAATAAAATGCGAAGAATACCTCAACGGCCACTTCTTTACAGTAGTAACCGACTGTTTAGCCTTAAAATGGTTGAAAGAGAAACAAAAACTAAACTCTCGTTTAATGAGATGGGCTTTACATCTCGAAAAATTTGACTATTCAGTTAAACACAGAAGTGGTTCACTTAATAAGGTCGCGGACGCTTTATCCCGATACCCTGTGTCTGAGCCTGAAATTCTCGAGGACAATATTGACAAATATTGTCTGAACAGTACTGAGGATATCAGTGTCTTTGACTTCACAAAACAATTGCCTAAACTACAGCGCGTTGATTACAATTACGGCAGAATTTATGAGACAATCAAATCAAACACTGATAGTGTATTAAATGAAATGTATGTCATAAACAATGGTATTCTCTACAAAAAGGTAAAACACAATAATGAGAAACAATTAGTGGTTTGCGTTCCTGTAATCAAAGTGCTTGAGATTATGTATTCCTACCATAACGATCCGATAAGTGGAGCACACTTCGGGATACAAAAAACCTCTGACAAAATAATGAGCCGATATGTGTGGCCTACTATGAGACAAGATATTAACGATTATGTCAATAGTTGCCTTGATTGCCTTGCGAAAAAGAAACCCCTCTTACCAAAGGCAGGCCTAATGATCCCAATTCATACATCGTATCCTTTTGAAAAGTTTGGTATTGATTTCTTAGGCAGATTTAAGAAATCCATAAATGGTAACACTTATATCATAACAGGAGTCGATTACTTTACTAAGTGGGCAGTCGTCAAAGCGGTGCCGGCCGCGACCAAAGAGACTGCCGCCGACTATATCATTAACGAAGTCATATGTAAATATGGCGCTATTAAGACTCTCATTTCAGATAGAGGTGTACAGTTCAAGGCAGGCCTTAGCCAAGAGATATACGAACGCCTCGGCACTAAGCATATCACCACAACCTCATACCACCCGCAAACCAACGGCTTAAGTGAATCTATGAACG